ATTGTCCATAATGCATACATTAGAACTTTGTCTCCCTTGCTCCATCAATCCCTCGACCCTCAATTCTGCCCAATTATTCGCCTTTTCAAATCCCAGATCTCACGTTCTTTCATCATACAGAGTCCAGGATATATCTCTTAGGAACGTGGACACTGTCTTAGCGAACCATAGGATTATAATCACATCGAAAGAAATTCACTATAATGCCTTGGTACAATATTCAAATTCCTCCAATTATCTCAAGAATGTGATGTTACTGTTGACTTATTCAAATCAGGACCTAAACAAGATCCACACATATTACATTTAGTTGTTTTTCTTAAAGTCTCTTGGAATTTAAAACAGCCTGTCTTCTCTGACCTCTTTCCCTGATCCCTCCCTTTTAAAAAAAATTATTTATTATACTTTAAGTTCTGGGGTACATGTACAGATAGTGTAGGTTTGCTACATAGGTATACACATGGCATGGTGATGGTGTGCTGCATCCATCACCCCATCACCTACATTTGTTAATTCTCCTAATGCTATACCTCCCCAATCCCTCCACACCCTCCTATTCCTCCCCAGCCTCCCAACCCCCAGGCCCCAGTGTGTGATGTTCCCCTCCCTGTGTCTGTGTGCTCTCGTTGTTCAATACCTACTTATGAGTGAGAACATGTGGTGTTTGGTTTTCTGCTCTTATGTCAGTTTGCTTGAGAATGATGATTTCCAGCTTCATCCATGTCCCTGCAAAGGACACGAACTCATCCTTTTTTATGGCTACATAGTATTCCATGGTGCATATGTACCACATTTTCATTATTCAGTCTATCGCTGATGGGCATTTAGGTTGGTTTCAAGTCTTTGTTACTATAAACAGTGCTGCAATAAACATATGTGTGCATGTGTCTTTATAATAGAATGATTTATAATCCTTTGAGTAAATACCCACTAATGGGATTGCTGGGTCAAATGGAATTTCTGTTTCTAGATCCTTGAGGAATCCCCACACTGTCTTCCACAATGGTTGAACTGATTTACACTCCCACCGACAGTGTAAATGCATTCCTATTTCTCCACATCTTCTCCAGCATCTGTTGTCTCCTGATTTTTTAAGATCGCCATTCTAACTGGTGTGAAGTGGTATCTCAATGCGGCTTTGATTTGCATTTCTCTAATGACCGTGATGATGAGTTTTTTGTCATATGTTTGTTGGTTGCATAAATGTCTTCTTTTGAAAACTGTCTGTTCATATCCTTCACCTCCTTTTTGATGGGATTGTTTGTTTTTTTTCTTGTAAACTTGTTTAAGTTCTCTGTAGATTCTGGATATTAGTACTTTGTCAGATGGGTAGATTGCAAAAAATTTTTCCCATTCTGCTGGTTGCCAGTTCACTCTGATGATAGTTTCTTTTGCTGTGTAGAAGCTCTTAAATTTAATTAGATCCCATTTGTCTATTTTGGCTTTTGTTGCCATTGCTTTTGGTGTTTTAGTCATAAAGTCCTTGCCTACACCTATGTCCTTAATGATATTGCCTAGGATTTCTTCTAGAGTTTTTATGGTGCTAGTCCTCATGTTTAAATCTTTAATCCATCTAGAGTTAATTTTTGTATAAGGTGTAAGAAAGGGATCCAGTTGCAGCTTTCTACACATGGCTAGCAAGTTTTCCCAACACTATTTATTAAATAGGGAATCCTTTCCCCATTGCTTGTTTTTGTCAAGTTTGTAAAAGATCAGATGGTTGTAGTGTGTGGCATTCTTTCTGAGGCCTCTGTTCTGTTCCTTTGGTCTATATCTCTGTTTTGGTACCAGTACCATGCTGTTTTGAGTACAGTAGCCTTGTAATATAGTTTGAAGGAAATTCACACTGACTTCCCCATACACCAAAATTAATGATAATGTCCTGCATTGATTATATACATCTATCTTAGATATAACAGTTTTTTCTTTGACATACTATCCCATTTATAACTATTGCAGAAAAAATGATGGATTAGCCCTTCTACAAAGCAAGGTGTTTGCAGCATCCTCAGTCTCTGTGTCCTTTTCAAGTGAGGGGATTGGCAGTCTCTCCCCAAAGGCCGAAAGTCAATGAAGTTCACTATATCCCTTTGCCATATCCAACAGAATATATATTTTATTTTGTTAATATCCAGGAGGAAAAGAAAATACGTGAAAAGGTCACAGTGGCTAACTCTGGTTGTTGTGGAGCAGACATCATGTCATGATCACACATAGGCATGATATTCTGAGTTCCTCCTGATTACGAGGCTTGGGGATGGCTAGGAGTGGGGTGGTAGTTTGTGGACAGGAAGAACTCACACAGGCAACACTATCATGTGGATGATACTACTCAACATCTTAGAAGACTTCAAAACAATTTCATTAGATGGAACTGATATTTTCTAGATGCAATTATGTATTTGGAAGTAAACAGATGTGACGGTCACTGTTCAACATGTTGCCCAGGCTGGTCTCAAACTCCTGGGCTTATGAAAAGCTGCCTGCCTTGGCCTCCCAAAGTTCTGGGACTACAGGCATGAGCCACCATGCCCGATCTACTATTTTATGTTATACATTTACATCCATGTAGTAAATTATATAGGAGGTTTTGAAAATAATTATATATGTATATACAGTATCTGGCTTTCAAAAAGTTTAGAGGATAGCCACACATTTTTCTTCTATCTTTATACAATACTTCTGAGAGATAAGCTTTTTCTCAAATTTTCTCTATTTGTCAAATTCCTTCAAAGGGCATATGACTCAATATAGAGGAATAGTTCTCAAACATGGCAATATTAAAAGTTGGAGAAGTCAGCAAAGAAAAACAGAACAAAAACAGAATGGCCCATGTAAATGGGTGAAAACTGATGCAATCATGAAACTAAAAATTACAGACTGAGAACCATAAGATGCTTAACAGTCTCTTTCTATATTCTTTTTCCTTTCCATTACCAAAAATTCATCACAAAACCCTGTTTATAACATACCACATGGTCCTCTTCAGTCACCATCAGTTTCAATGACTTCCCTGTTTTTCCTTAAAACATCCTCAGATCCATACTCCAATATATTCTTCCTACCCTTCTGAAGACAGCAATAGGTGCAACATGAAAATCATCACACCAAAACCATTTTACTAATGTTCTAAAAATATAATACGCATTTTAAGATTATATTATCGAGCGTTATTAGCATCCCTATCATTGTAAAAGTAAAACGTCGTCTATACCCACAAGCTTCTCAATGAACATGGACTAAATATAACAATGCAAAGTTAAACACATAGACTTACTGCATCCAGAACTACCAGGAATGAAAATGTCACAGCAGCATGGGAGTAGGTAAGTAAACAGATCAACTACACACGCTTTCCCCCGTATATGTTGGAATTAGAGTACAGATGTCTTAGGGAGATACTGACCCAAGTTCTATAGATACCTATGCTTGCTGTGCCAGGCAGTTCCAAGGCTACTAATACTCTGCTATGTCAGAAACAGCAAGAAAATTCAAAATGGTCAGAAAAATCTGCACAAGTGAAGATTAGACATATGAGCCTCCAGACGATCCTAACAGTAACCTACACCTTGTTTACCAAAAAGAAGTTATGGCTACTTAAACACCTGCTAGGATTTTTTCAGCCCTGCCAAAAAACAAATGCACTTCTACAGAAATGCAATGGAAACTCTTTTTTTTTTTTTTTTTTTTTTTTTGAGACAGAGGTTCACTCTTGTTGCCCAGGCTGGATTGGAGTGCAATGGCACAATCTCAGCAATCTCCACCTCCTAGGTTCAAGCAATTCTCCTGCCTCAGCCTCCTAAGTAGCTGGGATTACGGGTGCCCACCACCAACCCTGCTAATTTTTGTACTTTCAGTAGAGACAGGGTTCCACCATGTTGGCCAGGCTCATCTTAAACTCCTGACCTCAGGCGATCCTCCTACCTCGGCCTCCCAAAGTGCTGGGATTACAGGTATGAGACACCGTGCCCAGCTGGAAACTCATTTTTGACTGCAAGGAAAACAACAGAAAACCAGCAATTTTCACTAGCCATCTAAACCAAAACTGAAAAACCACTGACATTATACCTGGTTCATTGAACTTTCTGAACCTTGACACTGGGTATATCTGTTACTCCACATAAGCCTTGCTACCCTTTGCACACCAACATGATGCAACTGACATGAATAAAGGCTACATTCAGGCTTGCAACTGGGGGATCTCGTTTTCACCTTAAAGACAGATTTGATAAAACAGCTTGCTTCTCTCCCCTAACACCCTAGATGTGAGGAAAGGATTTAGAATTTGACCAGAGCACCCAGCTGCAAAGTCTAAAACCAAGGCCTTAAAATAACTGATTTTCTTAACTTCAGAGCCACTCAGGAGCATTACTACATTATACCATGTTGAGCATAACCAATCAAAACACATTACTAAACCATGCTCAGCTAACACTGACCTAAGTTGTGGGATGGGAAGATAGACAGCAAACTTTGTATCTGGCTAGAGTTGTTCAGTGCTCCTCTTTAACTTTCTTAAGAAGGCTTAAAGTGAATGGGCTCTGTTAGTACTAGCTAGCAAAACCCAATGCTACCAATAATTGCCAAGATCACCCAAGCTTTGTCTATATATATTTTTTTTTTTGCTCCCAGTTTGTCCTGACAACCAAACCCTTTTTCACTTCCTTAATACTTCCTCCTCCAAAATCTACACGAATGCTTGAAGACAACATAACTACAACCTTACAAATACCAACTAGACAAAGAGAATAAATGCTTTAATCATTTTAAAAAAAAAAAAAACCTTTGTCATATTGACATTCAGGGAAGTCTAGCACCAAGAACAATATTAACAACATTACAAATTTATTAGAAAAGTTATTTCCTAAAAGATCTTTGTGTGATCTACATCAAAGAAAAATCAAGGATTGCAGAGTGGGATAAAACCTGATAGAAATGAAATCATAATAATTTTTTCTTTCTTTCACTGAATTTGATTACAACGTTTATGTTTAGCCTACCTCAAGTTCAGGTAAGTCAGCATCTGCAGATTAACGATGGCCTCGGGAATGACTCTGATACAGTTGTGATACAGATTAAGAATTTCCAGTGATACAAAATGGCACAATTCCATTGGAACTTCCACCAGTCTGTTTTTAGATAAATCTGTGAGAAAAGGAGAGAATATTTTCTCAACAAAATTTGAACAAAATCAATACACTTTCATTAACCATGAACACTGTTTCTCTTAACATTATACATTTTGACCAATATTATCATTTTTTTGCACCTTTGTTACTACAACATTGCGATTTCTATTTCTTTGCCAAATCCTGGGACATGTGGGATATGGAAAAGCAAAAATACTGCCAAAACTGTTTAGCTCTCTGAATAATTTTCAGTGTATCTAAAAATTATTTCCAATTCATTCTACCAGACAAGTATGTAAAATGCTGTCCTCGAACATATCTGAATACAAATATTTACCAAAATTATTAATTCAATTTTGCTTCTGCTTTTTTGAGACAGGATCTCACTCTGCTACCTGTGCCGATCTGCAGTGGCATGATTTCAGCTCACTGCAATCTCAACCTCCTGGGCTCAGGTGATCCTCCCACCTCAGCCTCCCAAGTAGATGGGACTAGCACTATCATGTCTGGCTAATTTTTGTAGAAACGTGTCTTTTCCATCCTTTATAAATGAACACATAACAGACAATAACCAAGTATTTTATTCACTAGAATTACTGAGAGCCTATAATACAAAAGATTGAGATAAATTGTGTCTATTAAGAACAGACGCTATGAAGCACAGTCAGCAGTAAAACTCGACACCACTGGCCAAATGTATCAAAGACAGCAATCAGCCCAAAGAGCTGATTGTAACCATACAGTATAATCTACAGTATTACCATCCCAATGATAAAATTATGCAATAGTCCTTAATATCATCATATCTCAATAGTCTTTAATATCTTAATATCTAAATGAATGGGAGACATGACTGTCAAATTCCATAAAACATAAAACATAAGGAAAGAACCACCACTCCTGAAAACAACTCAACAATAATAGATAACCTCACCCTGTAGCAGGAGGGACTCAAAACAGTAACTGAAGATTTTCAGTAAATAATACGTAACATATATTTAAGGAACCACACCTTAGCCAAGGAAGGAGAACACAGAAAATATAAATATGTCAATATCACAGATGAAACGTCTGTTTCATCTGTCAATATCACAGATATTTATGTTTCATCTGGGATATTGACATATTTATATTTGACATATTGGAGGGAAGAAGAGCCACCTTCCCTCCAATAAATAAATACACAAATAAGCAAAAACCAGGACTAGATGGCTTCAGAGGGAGAGTTCTAACAAACTTTTAAGGAACAATTCTGATTATATTTAAACTACTCCAATCCATATAAAACAAAGGGAGGTTTTCCAATTCTTATTTAAAAAGTAAGATACAATATTGATACTATATTATATATTTAACAAAGAAGGTGCACAATATTTAGAAGGGAGATTCAGATCCCTTCTAAATATTGATGTAAATCCTTAGTTTAAAAAATAGCAAACAGAACCAGGCACAGTTGTTCACGCCTGTGATTCCTGCACTTTGGAAAGCTGATGTGGGTGGATCACCTGAGGTCAGGACTTTGAGACCAGCCTGACCAACATGGTGAAAACCCCCACTCTCGTCTCTCTTAAAACTCAGAAAAATTAGCAGGGTATGGTGGCATGTGCCTGTAGTCCCAGCTATTTGGGAGGCTAAGGCACGAGAATCACTTGAATCTGGGAGGTAGAAGTTGCAGTGAGCTGAGATCGCACCACTGCACTCAAGCCTGGGTGACAAGAATAAGACTCTGTCTCAAAATAATAAATAAATAAATAAATAAATAAAACCAGCAAACAGGAATGAGCAGCATATAAAAGATTAACATACCCTGAATGAGTGGAGTTTATTCTAGGAATACAAAGATATATATACTTTAAGTTCTGGGATTCATATGCAGAACGTGCAGGTTTCTTACATAGATATACATGTGCCATGGTGGTTTGCTGCACCCATCAACCCATCATCTACATTAGGTATCTCTCCTAATGTTATCCCTCCCCTTGCCCTCGACCCCCCCACAGTCCCCGGTGTGTGATGTTCCCCTCCCTTTGTCCATGTGTTCTCATTGTTCAACTCCTACTTATGAGTGAGAACACACAGTGTTTGGTTTTCTGTTCCTGTGTTAGTTTGCTGCCCTGCAAAGGACATGAACTCATCCTTTTTTATGACCGCATAGAGGATCTTACACTTTCAAAACAATTCACTTTATAAATAGGCCAAAGTGAAATGGTATATGATTATCTCCAAGGATATGTAAAAGGCATTTGGTAGAATACAATATTCATTTTAAACAGACTTATTAAAGGATATTTTTATGTATTTTACACGCATCAGCAAAATGGCACAAAAGAAGAGATATAATTTATGATCAAAGCAAAAGGGCAAAATCCCCAGAAAATCTTAAGGAACATGCAAAATTTATATGAATAAAACTTTAAAATGCTACTAAGTAATACAAAAAATAAACTAATTGAAAACAATATTCCATCCTGTTAAAGAAGGCAAAATTTTAAAAGGTGACAATTATCTCAATTATATAATTTAATACAATTTAAACAAATTTATAAATATAGTTCTAGAATTTTAAAAAATTTGTTGGCGTTATTACACAAGTTAATTCTAAAGATCACATGGTAAAATGATGTGAAAACAGTAAAGTATTTCTCAACAAAAAAGAGCCCAGAGGGGATGAGCCCTCCTAGATATTAAAAAAACATCACAGAGCAGTATGGTAGATACATGGGAAGGTCAATGGCATGAATTCCCAAGATGGGAAATAGGTCAAGATACATTCATATGGAAATCAGGCCACAGACCAGACTGGTACAGATCTTCACAGCAGGAGGTGAGCATCAGGCCAGCAAGCGAAACTTCAACTGCATTTACAGGCACTCCCCACTGCTCACATTACCACCTGAGCTCCGCCTCCTGTCAAATCAGCTGGAGCATGAGATTCTCATAGGAGCACGAACCCCACTGTGAACCGTGTATGCAAGAGACCTAGGTTGCCTGCTCCTTATGAGAATCTAACGTCTGATGATCTGTCACTGTCTCCCATTCCCTCAGATGGGACCGTCCAGTGCAGGAAAACAAGCTCAAGGCTCCCACTGATTCTGTATTATGGTGAGTTATATAATTATTTCATTATATATTACAATGTAATAATAATATAAATAAAGTGCACAATAAAGTAATACACTTGAATCATCCCAAAACCATCTCCCACCCGGGTCTGGGGAAAAATTTGTTCACAAAACCAGTCCCTGGTGCCAAAAGGGTTGGGGACCACTGAAGTATGCAATAAAGGTGGCATTTCAAATCAACAGGGAAAAGACACAAGGCCAGTAGTTTGAGAAAACTGGGTAGCCATCTAAAACGAACAACAACAAAATGATGACTACCTATCTCACGCCTCTTATCTCAATAAATCTTAGATGAATCAAAGGATCAACTGTGAAAAGTGAAGCCATAATGGCACCAGAACAACACATGGTTGTGTTTAGATCTCAAAATGGGGAAGGCTTTGCATGAATAGTACAAAGCAAGAGTGCCAAATTCAACACGCATACGAAAGTATGGCATTTTAAAACAAAAACTTCACCATAAACATGTATGACAAGGAACAGGGGAGAATGGAAAGCTCTACGATTTATAAACCCAATAGGCAAATTTTTTATACACAGAAAGAGCTTCTACAGTTGACAGCAATAAGACAAATCGTAAACAAGAAAAGAAAAATGGATATGAACAGATGGCTCACAGAAAATGATATACAAATGGCTCTTAAGCATATGAAAAAAGGATCAACCACACTCAAATTAGAGTGATTCAAATTACAACTACATGGGATAGTATTTTTCACCTATTAGAATGGTGAATATAAAAAATCTGATAAACACATTGTAATCCTGAGGACACGGTGATGCAAATGAAAGACATTTTGGTAATATCTATAAATATTATAGATGCACACATGCTTTAACCTAGCAATCTTTTTCATCTACAGATATTCTCATGCATATGCAAATGACATATTTTTTAGCATGGTTTCTTTTTTTCTTCCTTTTTTTTTTTTTTTTTTTGATGGAGTCTGTCACCCAGGCTGGAGTGCCGTGGTGTGATCTCAGCTCACTGTAACCTCTACCTTCTGAATTCAAGTGATTCTCCTGCCTCAGCCTCCTGAGTAGCTGGAATTACAGGCATGCACTACCACACCCTGCTAATTTTTGTATTTTTAGTAGAGACGGGGTTTCCCCATGTTAGCCAGGCTGGTCTTGAACGCCTCAAGCGATCTGCCCACCTCCGCCTCCCAAAGTGCCGGGATTACAGGCGTGAGCCACCAGCCTGGCCGGTATGGTTTCAAACAGCAAAAGATGAAAGGCAAATAAAATAGAGGACTAGTTAAGTATTAATATACTATTAACAAACATCATAAATATGCTAAAATTAGATCAATCAACATTAACATAATATGAATTCTATTTTGTGTGATAGAATGTAATGTTAAATATTATATTCCATAATGGAACACTAATACTATGCAGTCATAAAAATCAATGAAGCCACTCTATATATGCTGATATAAAACAAACTACAAAATATATTCCAAATGTTTTTACAAAGTGAGTTGTCAGACAGTACGTATAGTATTTGTGGTTTTTAATGACTATTTCCATAATTAATGTAAGTAGATTATCTCTGGAAGGCTACACAGGAAACTGTTTAAAGTGTTTGTTGAAGAAAGGATCTCTGGCTAGGCACGCAGGAGTGAACAGGGGGAAGAGTTCTCACTGTAGATACTTTCGTGCCTCTGAAATATCGATGTGTTGCTCATTTGGTTATGATATGTAGTATATACACATTATGACATACGTAATTGTGTGTATGCATATATACACATCTGTCTCATTCTGTCATCAGCAGTCTTATTCTTTCTCTACACGAAGAATTCTGTTTCACTTAAAAAGAGGCCAGAGCAAACTGTGAAGTTCCTCATATTAAATTAAGAAAAATATTGAAGCAAGCTTCCTTTCATGA